ATCCATGATTCTCTGCATGATCTTTTTTCGTGAGCTGCTTTTACTTTGTATGTAAATAGGCCTGCTTTTAGAACTCCTAGAAAGTGTTGCATGAACTAGTGACGTAGTGTTCCCATAACACTGCGACTCCAAACACTTGAATTGATTAATGATTTTTACTAACTGGTTTGAGGGAAAGACACAAACCAAAGATTTTAATGATATGATTTTATCATGTTTATTAGTATATGTTTCTTCAGTGTTAGTGTTTTCTTGCCTTCTTGCCAAATTGTGTCTGTGTGTACGTGTGAGTTTTCTCTTCTTTCGTTCTGTTTAGGTCACCTTACAAGTGATTGTTTAGTTTGCTGGCCTTGCCAATTCATTATTGTGTCACCACGATGTGTTAGTTCTAGAACATTCATCTGCCTGCATTATTCGTCTTTATATTTCGGGTTTTTTTGCCTCCCCTTCCTCAATGCTCTGATGGTGCCCAATGGGCGAAATATTGGCAAAGTTACTATGATCTATTTGGTGTAGCTGAGAGCCTGTTGCCGGAATGGCGGTATTTTCAAGTTTATTAGTATATGTAGCACTAGTCTACTGTTTTCACACTGGTTACCACAGATACGGAAGTGCTTTACAAATTCTTCTGAATACAGGCGAATACAGGCGGTTGATTCCCTGGAGTGATGCACTACATTGTAGTAATGCAACTGAAGACCAGTATAGTTTAAGTAAGGCTGTGTTAACATGAGGCGTTTCAACCTGGGTTGAGTTCGACCCGGGTCAGATTTCAACCCGTTATGTACACAAAATGAATGGCGCGTTTACATGACGCATTGCGCTTGACCCGGGTTGAAATTTCGCCCCGGGTTGATTTCAACCCCCCCCCCCCCCTCCTCCAAGGGGAGGGTTGAGATCAACCCGGTCGAGAAAATCCTACTAACGTACTTCTGTGCGTATCTCGCGCCAGGTTTGAATAGCACTGCACATGCAAATTTCGAGCGAAAGTATTCACGTGACCATACAAGATTGTAGAAGTGGACTTTTGGCGGCATATCAGTATTTGACCTGGGTCAACTGTCTTCATGTAAACGCTCACCTCTTTTGTCTATCGTACAGACATTCAACCCGGGCTGAACTCGACCCGGGTTGAAATTTCTCATGTAAACACAGCCATTCATTTTTGTGTACATGGCGGGTTGAAATCTGACCCGGGTCGAACTCAACCCGGGTTGAAACGCCTCATGTAAACACAGCCTGACTGTTGTAGCTGCAGGAAAACTACTCACCAGGGGTAGGAAAACTTCTTTTTTTTAGTACCCCTGGTACTCCCGGTACATTGTACTCGTACTCAACAAGTCGCAGAGTGCGGTACCCAGTGTTGCGGACCATGACAATTTGAGTGCAATTTCTGGCTAAAAATCATTTGTTTTAAAGGCGGCAATTATTTTGCGCAAGGAGACAAGAAACCCTCTTTTTTATACTATCAACACAGCCCTACTGGAAAACATGTGGAGAACAAAAAGAAAGGAAACTTGAGGACAAAACACACACAATATGCATTCCAAAATGTGAAAACACTTACAGGCAAGCAACAAAAATGGTAGTTAGGTGGCACAAAAGAAGGTGTCGTATTTTACGACCTGGGCAGTAATGTAGTCAGACTCATAACAGGAAGCCCTGGCCTGATTGCCATTACTGGTACATAGTCATAATAAGTCATTTGAATGCGGCGTTGAGTTCTTTCTCCATTGTTGTTCTCATATTTTGCTGTTTGTAATAAAAACGTTGTGTCGAGTAGAAAACCAGAATGTGACAACTGTGAAGTGAGAGAAACAAACTGTGGAAAAACTTCAAAAAGAAAAACTTCAAAAAGAAAAACTTCAAAAAGGAAGAACTTTAAAACGGCAAAATAATTTCAGCGCGACAACATGCTTCTTTTGCTTACAGAGCACATTTTTGTTGCTTGCTGTAAGTTGCTTGTCAGTTTTATCACATTTTGGAATGCATCATACCAGTATTTAAATAATTTTTTTGCTTGGCTAGCCTTCACTTTAGACAGTTTAGTCACGATATTCCACTGATGATAGTGACATGAAAATCGATTCGTTGATGCATGGTACATGGTACATGGTACGAATGATGACGGCAGAGCTACATGTAGTTATATTTATTGCTTTATTAAAATAATTGAAGAGCTTCATTTTGATATGCATGTCGTACTATACAAAATATGGGTTCACATACATTCAAATGGGACTTCGGGTATAAGGACACTTCGCGAATGAGAACACTTTTCTGATGCCCAACCGAGTGTCGTAAAGTTTACTACTACACTTCAGCGGGCTACACTGGTTGGCAGTTGGCAGTACGCAGTATACAGCTGTCTGCCTCTTGTAACCATGGTAACATACGTTTGCATGATTGGCACGTACAGTCGTTATTAGCGAAGTATTTAGTTGACTGCTAGCATGCTGACTACTGCATGCAGTCTGTAAGGGCGCGTTCGTCAACTGTTCGAACACTTTTTTTAAGAGATTAGTTACTGCATTTTTCGGAGTATAGTGCGCACCTTTGTATAACGCGCACCCCCAATCTTCATTGGGGGTGCACACTTCAATCTTCATTGAAGTACATGCATTTCATATTCGGAGCATAGTGCACACCTGCGATTTAGGGCCTAAAATAGCACATCTAAAGTGCGCACTATACTCCGGAAAATACGGTAAAATGGTTTCTATCATTTTAGAGTTTTTCAGTGGAATTAGACGTGCGGCGAGGAGACAATAATTCGATAACCGCAATCAATAAGACAAGCTGAGTCGATTCAGCTTGTCTTATTGATTGCGGTTATCGAATTAGACATGGTTAGCATTAGACATGATTAGCATTTTACCGTTCGCGCTAAATCCAACGGTACTCGCACCCAGCACCCAAAATACCGTCGGTTTGGTATCGTTTTTTTCGACGATAGAAAGCTCTGTTTAGCGGGAGAACGTAACGGTAAGATAATATAATGTCGTCCGATCGCATCGACATCGACAATCTCGACGTATACACATGACACAGCTACTAGTATTCCAAACTCTTCGGAACAAGGGCGGGTTCGCCGGGATTGTCACTCTTGAGTCTTTGCCTTTTCGACCGGGAGTTTCGCCGGTTTTTCTGAAGAGGTGGCCATACTGTATTGGCCTCTTCAGAAATTAAAAAACGAAGCACCTCGAAACTCCACAACCTCATCCTATGGGCCATGGGAGAGGTGGATTAGTTCCGAAGAGTTTGGAATACAGTAGCTACGTCACGTAGTACGTGGAGATGGTCGATCTGATCGGACGTCATCATCGCCATGACAATTCCACTGAAAAACTCTAAAATGATAGAAACCGTTCTAATGGGACACTTCAACACTTCCACTACTACTAGTACTACAGATCTACTGGTAATCTCTTTAAAAAAAATTGTTCGAACAGTTGATGAAGACAATTCGAACGCCCCCTAATCCACCTCTCCCATTAGATGAGGAGTTTCGTTTTTCTGAAGAGGCCAATAAAGGCCACCTCTTCAGAAAAACGAAACTCCTCGAAAAGTCAAAGAGTGACAATTCGAACGCGCCCTATTAAAGTTTTGTCTCTGTTCTTTTCTGCCTTTGTAAATAATTTTAGGCTACTACTACGTACTATCAAGAGTACATAACCCCCCGTACCAGGTACTCTTGGTACTATTACAGTGCTGGCAACTGAAATCCGACCTGGCCGCGCCGCCCGGGGTCGGATTTCAGTTGCCAGCACAGTACTTTTTTTTTAACCAAGAACATGTTATTTAGAAAGACAGGACAAGTGAATAATTAGTCAGTCCATTGTTCATGATGATCTCCGACGGTAACGTCGGGAAGCGAGTCTCCGCCACTGCCAAAGCAGCGTGGGCTCCGCAGGAGGGTGCAAATTTCAAACCAAAATTTAAACGCCTACAACCGCGAATTGGATTGGTTTATTTAACGTCGAATAACAAACAGGCAGTGTTGCCTTATTACATCATCGGAGATCGACTAAAGTTAGTTACAGGCACACAAATGTATTACATGATACAGGATTTCAGAAGGCTGAAGGAAATCCTGCATCTACTAGTACTACTTGAACAAAATCATGCCATAACACGAGAGTAATGCTCACCCCTCTTCTCAGCCAACAGATGAGCGTTTATACAGTGCTGTTGATGCTGGACCCATTCCGCCACTGGCTGACATGACCGCCGGAACACAGTACTACATCAGTACATAATCATTGTCATCATCATGCATGGTCATTATGATTATTGTCTTTTATAATTTTTGGTGTCGTCCGCAACCATGCATTGGTTCGAGAAGTTGGCGCTGGACGCGCTGAGCAAGCGATTGCAAGATCAGCTATGCGATGTGATAGCTGACGTACTGGATGAGCTAGTCAGCTTGAACCTATTCCCTGGTCCGTGCAGTCGCGTTGCAATCGAGAAAGTGACCAACAGAGCACTTATCTCCAGCGAGCAAGTTGAAGAATTGCTCAAGCAGCTCGTAATTACTGGAAAGGACGAGCCGGGGAATGCGGTGTTCAGCAGCTTCTGCAATGTCTTGCGCTTAGAGCGTTTTGCCGCGGGCGATTTGGCCAATGCTTTGGAATGCGAAGCGGAGACGTTCCAGAAGACGAAATCAGCAGGTGACGAGAAAACATCCCGCCTTGTGAGATCTATATCGACCGTGGAAGAAATAGTAGAAGATGTGGTGGGGAAAAAGCTGGCCGAACAGCACGGACGACATGGCGTCACGAGCGACAAGCAGACTGGAGAGTGCGTTGCAGCAGAAGCTTCAGAGCTGCCTGACTTGGTGGAAAGATTACAGAAACATCTGAACGTGCTCAGTAGACATCAATGCAAGACGGCTACAGACCATTCCGGTCTAGGCTGTTTAACTAAAGACATCAGAAAATGTTTCGTGCCGCTTCAAGCAATGAGCCATAGAGATGCCATGCGACAGGCATTCCGCACAGAGAAACTGCATGCAGCACATCAGCGTTATAATGCAAGTTCGCAACCTTGCTCACGTGTGAATCGTAGAAGCAGTTACGCTCCTGGTGCAGGCGCAGCTGATGCAGCGGGAAAGGTGTTTATGCTGGAAAATGCAGCTCAACTGTTGATGGGTGCAAGTGGTGCAGCAGCGTACCGGACACATTCTGGAAATGCAGTGGAACGCAGCGCAGATACTACCGCCGCTGCCGCTGCTTCTGATGGTCAGTGTGTGGATTTTGAATCTGGCTGCATGCTCATTGGTAGCGCTGGACAAGGCAAGACGACGCTATGCAAACGTATCATTGCCGACGTCAGCGATGCAGCCAAGCGGTCCTCGCCACTCAACAAGCTGAAGTACGTCTTTTACATTGCATGTCGACACACAGAACGTGTAACATCTCCCGACTGGTGTGTCCTGCTAGGGCTCGACGGTTTGGGAGTGAATACTGAGGAGCAGCACCAGCTTCTACAATACCTTTCAAG